TCTGTACCAGTGCTGATCTCTTCTAGTAGTGATGTTGAAAACTGGAACTTTGGCGGTTGGTAAGGGAATTCTGTCTTCTCGCTGTTGATTTTGAGGCTGAATTGATCGGCTGTTCTCGCAAATTTCTCCAATGAAGATTGCATATCTTCTGCGCATGCACTGTGTGCAGCTAGGGCACTTTCATCGGCAAAGAGCATTTCTACTACTACCTTCGTCGATGTTTTACTCTTAGCTTTGAGCTGTGCCACATTGAACAGGTCTGCTTCTTTCCTTGTTTGAATGTATACTCCTTCTGAAGTGTCTTTGAAGGCCATCTCAAGCATCGCTGACAGATAGTAGCGAGAAGAGTGTAGGCGCCAGTACACACCCTTGTTTAACCCCGTTGCTTACTGAGAAGTCTTCAGACACTGAACCACTCATTGCCACGTTAGCTTACATACCTGTATGGAGTGCCTCGATCACGTTGACAAACATCTCTGTGCAGCCATATTTCTTGAGTACCTGCCAAAGTCCTTGTCGCGATACAGTATCGAAGGCTTTACCGAAGTCAATGAAGACTACAAAAAGTGGCATGTTCTGTTCGATACACTTTTCTTGAACCTATCTCAAGCAGAAAATCAGAGGTGTGTTGATTGAGCCTGTTCAGAAGTACGCGTGCGAGAATCTTACCTTTATCTTCTTTCACCTCCCCTGTGTTGGTCATTGTTGGGGCATACACGCTGAGGAAAGTGGCATACATCTTTCGCTGTAGTGGGAGTCTCATAGTCATTATTCTGTCGTTGATTGGCACTGGTTCCTCGTCCTTGTTAACCCAGGCGACGTCCGAGCCGGTATGAGTTGTTTTCTGACTGACCATTTCATGAAACTGCTTGCAAAGAACTGAAGCACTGCTAGCTTTAGCTGGATTAGCAGCACATTATCGGCAGATGAAGGTGTTTCAGCGGCAAGGATAGGCCAAGACAAACTGACTCCAGTATCTGTTGCAGTAACTAACCAAATGATTGGTTAGTTTGTCTCCGCTCTTTTTGAAATGCATTGCACAATGCACCGACTTGCAAAAGTCCGCCACAAACCTTACGACAGAAGTGTTGATCATCTACAAGGATGTCCATTCTCACCCCGAGTAACTGGAAGTGGTCCACCACAGACCTTAAGACAGATATTGTTTTTAATTCTGTCAGGATGCCCAGTTTCACCCTCAACGCTCTCTATGGGGCGGGGTTGCCGGTTGAGTCGACTTCCCGACCCATGAGACGGGTAGTACTGGTTTTTATGGTTATCCAGTAACAAGCAAACCAATACTGACCTGACTTGGTGATAAACTGCTAGAAAAACATTTTCAAATGTTCCCAGAACGTTGTAGTGAAAGAATCGATTCTTCTTATTCTTTTAGAAAACCTGCGACCTTTCGAAAACCACCTAATTGATGGCGAGACACCCGACACACGACCATTAATCAAACTCAAGCACGCGTAACTTTTTTTTTAATTGATAAGATAAACAAACGTAGTTAATATTGTGAATTCTAACACTTTAAGCTCGTTATAAAAAGGTTCCAGTTGTAATCAAATCGGCTTCACATATAGGTTCCTCTTTGTAGTGACTCATTATGAATCCAGATTATCGAATCGTTCAGTTAACTTGTGTTACTAAAAACAATGTTTCCCTAATAACAGGAGAGGATGGCAATGGAAAAATAACGGCAGAAGCCATGATAACTTCCATGAACATCGCCTTACTAGTAGCCCTGTTCCTGCTAAACTCCGATCACATTCAGAAAGCCATTGAGATATGCAACGAATGTTTAATTTTGCTAAATAACAGCGATCAAAACAGCAAAGATCAGTTTGATTCAGTGCTACTACAATTTGACAGCGACATCTATACAGTTCTTTACAGCGCATATGGTCATATCTCTGACGACGTAAATGCGGCAAGATACGGCAGGAAACTGCATGTCTTCTCCAGCAAGTATGGAATTCTGTATTATAAACTTGGCGAAAACCTTAAAGCGAAGGAATATATTGCAAGGGCCCTTATCAAATCGACCGAAATTGGCGACAAAAGCGGAGAAGCATCCTATTACGTAAACCTTGGTGCCGTGTTTAAGTCGCTCGCAGAATACGACAAGGCTAAAGAGTATCTCCACAAAGCGCTTGTCATCACAACTGAAATTGGCGACAGAAATGGAGACGGAACATGTTATGGAAACCTAGGTAATGTGTTTCTGTCGCTCGGAGAATACGGCAAGGCTAAAGAGTATCTCCACAAAGCGCTTGTCATCACAACTGAAATTGGCGACAGAAATGGAGAAGGAACATGTTATGGAAACCTTAGTACTGTGTTTCAGTCGCTCGGAGAATACGACAGGGCTAAAGAGTATCTCCACAAAGCAGGGTCGTAACGAGGTATATTTTTTCGTCGCTGATCCCGTATTTTTACGCAAATTTTTAATCCCTGATCCCAAAAGTGATGAAAATTTTGATCCCTGATCCCACAAAGTTTTGTTGATCCCAGTGTATTTGTTATTTTGATTATGTTTAATCGTTACAGTATACGGAACAAGTAGAAATGAATTTAAAAGAAAATGTTCAGACAATGTCGAGTTTCATCTAAGATTGGTATCACATCGTTTTACGATCAAGATTCTGTTACCCTACCCTCCGTTTTAACGCATCTTTTATAGTTCCTTACAGGATGAAAAAAAGATAAACTGGACTCACCTGAATCTGCCCTTGGGATGCCTTGTATACGTTTTGATTCATCCAAAATGACGCTCTCAATAGAAGGCATCGGTGTTAAGCTATACGAGAAATGATCAATTATAACCAATTTGAGATTGTTATATTTTAGAAATTTACAAATTTCCATACAGTTTCTTATATTATTCTGAACTTTTTTATTGACCAACCGTAGCATCCTATTGCACAAAAGTCCTAATGTACTCTCTGAAGAAGTAATGTCGATCCATATCCAGATATCGATCGATCGCTTTAAATTGTGTCTAAAAATTACCCATCCTCAATGTAGAAATAACTCAAAACCAGTGTAGATGCTTAAACATGGTGTTCATATCTTACCTGCGAACCGTGGACTGTTCATTCTTGCGAACGGCAAACTGATCCAGGGAAGTTTGTGTCACAGTCTGTCTCTCCTTTTCTCTTGACCTTATGTCCATCCTGGTTCAAAATGCACGGAGAAAGAAACTGACAAATTGCCATGTGCTGTATGTACATGGTATGTACGTACATAATAGTTAAATAACTATACCTATACGCACGATCATGTTTTTTTTAATCATGTTCCAGAAAATCAATTGGAACCTACACTTGCCTTGCTAAGTTTAAAAGGTGCAGAAAAAATATAAGATAAAGATCCTCGCCATGTCAATAAAGTATTGT